TTCTAAATAATAAATGTCGAATTTTAATAAAAATCCCCAAGTCAACCAAAAAGTCAACGTTGGTCACACGTCTCGAAATCCGACAAAAGTCAAAAAATCCAAACACTCATTCCACCACGAGTCCAACCATACCGAATTTACCAAATTCTGGCATCAACTCAACCTCCAAATCCTCAATGTACAGTCTAGAAAATTTCTACCATTTTCAACCCAATTCACTAATCTGTTGATAAAAATTACAATAGATTCGTGTAATTTAACCAAAATCGAATTAGGAATTCTTCCCCCCAATATTTTTTCTTGAAAATCTCCCGAGAAATCGCCTCACACCGAGCTCAAAATTCCAAAAATAGAAATTCGTCTCATTTTCAGAACTTAAATTCTGCTGCCCAGGTATTTACCCTTCCCGATCGCAAAAAATTCTTCGCGATCGGGAGCACAAAAGTTTCCTGAACAATTTTACTTTATGCGATCGCGGCCATTTCCCCGTGATCGCGATGAACAAACTTCTATTACTCTTCCAAAACTCTTCTCCGACAATATGTAGAATAATATCCATAATATTTTATACATAATTTCAAATAACAAATGGTTTGAATTTCTGAAAGCTAGACGCCAAGGGTAAAATAAATAAAGGCTGATTAGAAATTTCAAATCCACTAACTGACCCAAAAAAGTTGGCCAAAGGGTCCATTCTAATACTTTTTGCACAATGCACTATATAACTGGTAGACCAATGAATTGGAACAAACTCTTTTCCCTGCAACTCACGCAACTATTTCATTTTTTATTCAGAACTACGATCAAATTCTACCATTACCATTTTCATGTTTTGATGAATTAGAAGCCATTCGACTAATGATTTATGGACCTGAATACAAATTATTGAATAACAGTCGGGTCTGGTCACATATAGATATTCTATCAAGTATTACCCAACTTCAATCAACATAATTATTGGATAACATTTCTTATCAAGACGCAGACGCGAAAAAAATCACGTAGCATTTTTTACTCTTCAATCTTCATTAATTTCCATGTTTTTATATTGGATCACAACTTTAAATGCTATCCCCCGTAAGAATCAACGGCGAATTGATGTTCGGCCAAAATGCTATACTTTAGTACATTACTCGCCCTATATTTTATTGGTTTAGTGATTAACTGTGCGACATATTGAGCTAAATTGTGTTGTTTTATGTGTAGGAGCATCGGAAGAAAGAGTCGAATGAAAGTTGCACAAAAAGAGGACGAAAATGCAAGAAAAGAGCACAAAATCACCAAATACTCAAGCCGTGCTACAGGCCAAGCATAGCCAGCTCTATAGCCTGCTTTACCGTGCTACAGATCAAGTATAGCCAGCTCTATAGCCAGCTTGACCGGGCTACTGGCCAGGCGTAGCCAGCTCTGTAGCCAGGCTGACCGCGCTATAAGCCTGGCCTCGCGAGGTCTATAGTCCGGTGATTAAAAGTTGCGGGTTAAAAGACTCCAACCCGGATTTGGACTGAGGGATTTCGGCCCTAACATATAAATACTCCCCAAATGAGTTGAGAAAGGGTTGGACACTATTTTGGAGAAGAAAAAGGCTACAGAACACTGTGGAGCAAGAATCAAACGAGTTTTTCCTCCGTTTATCTCTTTACTTTGTAGTTTAATGTCTTTGAACATCATGATGATTATGCATACATTTATGAGTAGCTAAACTCTCTCATCTAGGGTTTGATAGAACCTATTGAAGGATGATTTTTTTCACTACGTTTAATATAAAGTTGCCGTTGATCTTTTTGTACTTGTTCAACTATATTTTCGTTGTTATTGATTAAAGAGCTCTCAATTAACTGTGCCTATCTAGTGTGTACATTGCTCGAGAGAATACACATTTAGGTAGTTGTTGAACAACACCACTCCTAACGTATTTGAGAAATCAATACGGAGGAATTAAAGGCAGGATTGGAGATAACGAAATCTTGGTGCGATCGAAGTGAGCGGTGAATTAGTGCCAGCTAGCGTAGTACGAGATAATACGTCTAGTAAATTGTGGTAGTTGCTTGAGAGAGAGCTATGACACCAAAAGTACTCATGATCGGTAGAGAATACTTAGGCGAATTTATAGGAAAAGTGGCGGGGGAGATGCCGACAATAGGGGAAATCATAACCCTAAACTTTTCCCAATCTTGTCCACAACATTTGCTCTGTTAGTTATACATACTGTATTTTAATTACTTTGATCTTAGTTAATAAGCATTCAAAACGTTATTTAATATTTCTGAAGGTTGATTACTTGAATTCGTGTGAAACTAGTGGTTGTAATTAGTAGGTTAATTCCCTGTGAGATTCGACTCCGGACTTGTAAACCGGATTATATTTGCAACGACCGCTAGACCTCTTAGGAGGCATAGTTGGGCGTGATTACAAGTCCAGGATTTAATCTCTACTGGTTCAACCTTTAAGGTTCTTAGCATTAAACTAATTGTATTTTAAGTTATTGGATTCATCTCTATAATATATTCTAATTTTAATAAACTTTTACACATAAATTTATGTTCTGCATAAAAAATACTAGACTTAGACAAACCTAGTACTAATATATTTCATCCGCCTCTGACCAACACAAATTTTCGGTGACTTTTTATATTTTCACTCACTTTATTGACTACTGGATCAAAACCTAAATAGTCATCATTATATGAAATTTTTGGTGAAACTGTCCCGTAACAAATATTTCATAAACATAATCTTTATCACAAGTGGATCCATTAACTATCAAAGTGCACCTCCTATCCAAAATCATGCATATAGTATAAAAGAAGTAATACCTTTACATCTTATCTTCTGCTTCTAAAGAACAGGGGTTGTCGTCGGGTAAGGCTGATAAAGCCATTGCCTAACACCCCTAAATACTAAAGGCTCCCAAAAATATTACACTTTATTATTATATATAACATATAATTTTTATAATTATTATTAGATTGATATTTTAAAGTTTCATTTTTTTTGGTTTGCTTGAGGTTGTATAAATGAGTGAGTCAATAACAATAATTTTGTTCTCTCAATAGTTAATATATTTACCTTTTTCTTGAGTTCTAATTTTACTTCCTTTATGTACATTCATTTTGTTTTTTTGTTTCTGACGCTTCACTTTCTAATTTTGACTCCATTTTTTTTAAATTAGCTTTTTTCTTTTGTCATATTTGATTGATCCATAGATCAAAAGAAAGAAATTCTTTCTTGTCTTATTATTGTTCTGTACCAATTTATGTGTGATTTTCGACTCGACGCCAAAGTTAAAAAAGATGGAAAGACTTTTAAAACTTGTAATTTAATACAAATCACATATATGTGTGGCTACAAATCATTTTATTAAAGGTAAAGTAAAAAGTTTAAAGTTAAGTAGTTTCTAAATAATAAAGTACTGCATTCTTTTCAAGACGGACTAAAAAAAAATATGAAACATAATTCTTGTGAGCGCTACTGTGTTAAAACACAAAATCAGAAAACTGTTAGAAGAATAAAAGAAACTGGAGAAACAGTAAAGATTCAGAAATATTCCGAGTCCACAATTTGCTTGTGCGTCCTTAACGAATTTTAACCCCCTCACACGTTGCCAAGGTAATGGATTAAATCCTCCCAGGATAAAACGGAATAAACCTTCCTGCAACAGTGGCAATACAAACTGCAGGATACCAACGAACTTAAAGAGCGGAGCAAAATCACACTTACGAATTCGAGAGAGAGAGACTGCGAATTAGAATGCAGTATTTTCAGAAAGAAGGAAGTTCTGTAATGTTTTTGGTGTGTTAAAAACAAAGCCATGCCTCTGAATTTATAGGCAATTATTGGAAGAGGTGTGATGTCTGTTCTGGAAAGGTGCCTGTTCAGAAATTTCACCGCCTGCCGCGGTCCTACCGCGGTTACGCTAGGACCGCGGCCAAAGTGGCTCTCTGAACCTGTGGAAGGGTTCTGGCGCGGTCCTACCGCGGTTACGCCAGGACCGCGGCCAGACTATATTTCTGAATCTTCAGCATTGATCTGGCATTTAATGAATTATTAAATAATTAATTAAATAAATTTTGTCCAAAAAATAATCTTATCGATCGATCATTTTCCAAATCCAAATCCAAATCCAAAGCCGAAGCCGAGCCGAGCGAGCGACGACGACGGCGCGAGGGTTCATTCTCTTCAACTCCTTTTAAGAGCTTTAAGAAGTGATTCTATATATAAGCACACAAATGTAGTTGTCCCTCACCAATGAGGGACAAAGTGCAAGACATAAGCTCACTTCTTCAAATTTTCATTTTTCCCTCCATTTTATTTCCCTCCATTTCCAATTCACACTTTTATACTTTAAAGCTCAATGGCTTAAAAGTCCAACAATCCCCCACATGAATGGGAATGGTTGTATCAAGAAAGATCATAGATGAAAGCTGTGTGATTTGCAAGTAAGGATTAATTGCATCTGGATAAGTAGGTTTCCCTTTGAACTTTCCGTAGTGAACATATGTCGGATATACTCGGTCAATCGGTAGATTTGATATCTTTGAACCGTCGAACTTTAGTGTATACCTAGACAACCATATGTCACACAACCAACCCTTAACCGTCTTTTAGTTCTCATTGTTGTGTTCGTTTCAGCCATGAACACCGCCTGGTTTCATAAGTGCGTAGAGAATTGGCCTTACAGAATTCTCATTGAAGCGGCTTCCACTTCACACTTACATAGGTGATTCCTAAACGTGTAATCCTATAGATTGACACTATTTGATAAATACCATATCAAACTTAGGTAATCATTAAAGAACGTGTAAATTTCTATCCTTGTTACTGAACATTGTCTTCATCACGAGAATGGACCAAAGATTTTACTTTGACAATGTTGAACCGGTCAATCACAACTTTGTTTGAGCTCCTTGAACCTAGATCTCGGAACATCCAAAATTCTAGGTAGAGTTACCGCCATGTTGACTTGTCCTCGGCCATAGTCCCATTCCCTTAGNTCATTTTAAGTAAGGTCCACATCTTCATTGCCTTCATCTTCTATTTCTTGATCTACTCCACCTACAAAAGAGGATAAATAAAGTCATTACCTTTCATTTGGACTTCCTAGACTAAATAAATTGATCAAAAGAGAAAAAGAAAATAATGGACATACAAGATGCTAGTCATGAGCCAAGCTCTTCTACAGAAACACATTACCTAGACCCAAATTTGGACATTAAATGTACATGCAAGCTACTAAAACAGAACAAGATATCAAATTAATCCCATTATAGGATTTAAAAGGAAAAGAAGTCAGTTTGCACAAATTTGGTTTTGTGACCACTAGCTAATTCCCGATTTCATATCACAACATACTTTGCTCAGAAGCCTGTACAGGAAAGAAACATGTGTTACCAACATTACCATCTCGATTAAGAATATTTGTGTTTTCATACTAAAACGGAAAGAAAGAAAAGACATCTCATGTGTAGAAGTGCAAAAATGTGTATCTCAAAAGCATCAGTGCAACAAAATTTAGTATCTTTTAAGCAATATGAACTCAAATTCGATTTTAGGCATGTAACTTCTTGGCTTTAAAACCAAAAAAGACATAGAGATATATGGATTTGCTCTTACTTGTGAGCGCTACTGTGTTCAAATACAAAATCAGAAAACTGTTAGAAGAATAAAAGAAACTGAAAAAACAGTAAAGATTCAGAAATATTCCGAGTCCACAATTTGCTTGTGCATCCTTAAGGAATTTTAACCCCCTCACACGTTGCCAAGGTAATGGATTAAATCCTCCCAGGATAAAACGGAATAAACTTTCCTGCAACAGTGGCAATACAAACTGCAGGATACCAACGAACTTAAAGAGCGGAGCAAAATCACACTTACGAATTCGAGAGAGAGAGACTGCGAATTAGAATGCAGTATTTTCAGAAAAGAAGGAAGTTCTGTAATATTTTTGGTGTCTTAAAAACGAAGCCATGCCTCTGAATTTATAGGCAATTATTGGAAGAGGTGTGATATCTGTTCTGGAAAGGTGCCTGTTCAGAAATTTCGCCGCCTGCCGCGGTCCTACCGCGGTTACGCTAGGACCGCGGCCAAAGTGGCTCTCTGAACCTGTAGAAGGGTTCTGGCGTGGTCCTACCGCGGTTACGCCAGGACCGCGGCCAGACTATATTTCTGAATTTTCAGCATTGATCTGGCATTTAATTAATTATTAAATAATTAATTAAATAAATTTTGTCCAAAAAATAATCTTATCGATCGATCATTTGACAAATCCAAATCCAAATCCAAAGCCAAAGCCGAAGCCGAGCCGAGCGACGACGACGGCGCGAGGGTTCATTCTCTTCAACTCCTTTTAAGAGCTTTAAGAAGTGATTCTATATATAAGCACACAAATGTAGTTGTCCCTCACCAATGAGGGACAAAGTGCAAGACATAAGCTCACTTCTTCAAATTTTCATTTTTCCCTCCATTTTATTTCCCTCCATTTTCAATTCACACTTTTATAGTTTAAAGCCCAATGGCTTAAAAGTCCAACAATCCCCCACATGAATGGGAATGGTTGTATCAAGAAAGATCATAGATGAAAGCTGTGTGATTTGCAAGGATTAATCGCATCTGGATAAGTAGGTTTCTCTTTGAACTTTCCGTAGTGAACATATGTCGGATATACTCGGTCAATCGGTAGATTTGATATCTTTGAACCGTCGAACTTTAGTGTGTACCTAGACAACCATATGTCACACAACCAACCTTTAACCGTCTTTTAGTTCTCATTGTTGTGTTCGTTTCAGCCATGAACACCGCCTAGTTTCATAAGTGCGTAGAGAATTGGCCTTACAGAATTCTCATTGAAGCGGCTTCCACTTCACACTTACATAGGTGATTCCTAAACGTGTAATCCTCTAGATTGATACTATTTGATAAATACCATATCAAACTTAGGTAATCATTAAAGAACGTGTAAAGTTCTATCCTTGTTACTGAACATTGTCTTCATCACGAGAATGAACCAAAGATTTTACTTTGACAATGTTGAACCGGTCAATCACAACTTTGTTTGAGCTCCTTGAACCTAGATCTCGGAACATCCAAAATTCTAGGTAGAGTTACCACCATGTTGACTTGTCCTCGGCCATAGTCCCATTCCCTTAGATGATTTCTCAACTCCCTCTCTAGTTAAGCCTTTTGTAAGCGGATCCGCCACATTATCCTTTGATCTTACATAATCAATAGTGATAATTCCACTAGAAAGTAGTTGTCTAACGGTGTTGTGTCTTCGTCGTATATGACGAGACTTTTCGTTATACATAACGCTCCCTGCCCGTCCTATTGCAGCCTCACTATCGCAATGTATGCAAATAGGAGCCAAAGGTTTTGGCCAGAACGGAATGTCTTCTAAGAAATTTCGAAGCCATTCAGCTTCTTCACCGGCTTTATCCAAAGCTATAAACTCTGATTCCATTGTAGAGCGAGCGATGCACGTTTGTTTGGAAGACTTCGAAGATACTGCTCCTCCACCAACAGTAAAAACATATCCACTTGTGGACTTTGTTTCTGTTGAGCCGGTTATCCAATTTGCATCACTATATCCTTCGATAACCGCATGATATTTATTGTAGTGCAAAGCGTAGTCTTGGGTATATTCCAAATATCCCAGAACTCGTTTCATTGCTACCCAGTGATGTTTGTTGGGATTACTTGTGAATCGACTAAGTTTACTTATTGCACAAGCTATATCAGGTCGTGTACAGTTCATGATGTACATTAAGCTTCCCAACACACGAGCATACTCCAATTGAGACGTATTTTCACCTTTATTCTTTATGAGATGATGATTTAAGTCAATTGGAGTTCTTGCACTTCTAAATTCCAAGTGTTTGAATTTTTCAAGTACCATTTTCACGTAATGTGATTGAGACAAAGCTAGACCCTGAGGAGTCCTCTGGATTTTAATTCCTAGAATTACATCGGCAACTCCTAAGTCTTTCATATCAAACTTACTAGCAAGCATACGCTTAGTAGCTTGAATGTCGGCAATGTCTTTGCTCATTATTAGCATATCATCAACATATAAGCAAACAATGACTATATGATTTGGAACGTTCTTAATGTAAACACATTTATCACATTCATTAATCTTAAAGCCATTTGACAACATTGTTTGGTCAAATTTCGCATGCCATTGCTTGGGTGCTTGTTTTAGTCCATAAAGAGACTTAACAAGTCGACACACCTTCTTTTCTTTTCCCGGAACCACAAACCCTTCAGGTTGGTCCATGTAAATTTCTTCCTCTAAATCACCATTTAAGAAGGCTGTTTTTACATCCATTTGATGGATTTGAAGATCATACAAGGCGGCTAACGCTATTAGCATCCGAATGGATGTAATTCTTGTTACCGGCGAGTATGTGTCAAAATAGTCAAGACCTTCTCGCTGTCTAAATCCTTTGACAACAAGTCTTGCCTTGTATTTGTCAATAGTACCATCGTCTTTCATTTTCTTCTTGAAAATCCATTTAGAACCCAATGTTTTGTTACCTGGAGGAAGATCAACCAATTCCCAGGTATGGTTGCTCAATATGGATTCTATTTCACTATTGACAGCTTCTTTCCAATATTGTGCTTCTGAGGAAGACATTGCTTCCTTGAAGGTACGAGGCTCATTTTCTAGCAGGAAAGTCAGAAAATCTGGACCGAATGAAGTAGATGTCCGTTGACGTTTACTTCTTCTCGGATTTTCCTCATTAGGCATACCATCTGTTATTTCCTCCCGAGGTCGTTTTGACTTTTGGTAGGTCACTTCACTTTCCTTTTTATACGGATAAATAGTTTCAAAGAATTCAGCATTATCTGATTCTATTATCGTATTAACGTGAATCTCAGGATTTTCTGACTTATGAACCAGAAAACGATATGCCTTGCTATTGGTTACATATCCAATAAATACACAATCAACCGTTTTTGGACCTATCTTAACCCTTTTAGGTTTAGGAACTTGTACCTTAGCTAAACACCCCCACACTTTGAAGTATTTCAAGCTGGGCTTCCTTCCTTTCCATTTTTCATAGGGAATGGACTGTGTTTTACTATGAGGTACACGGTTGATTATTCGGTTAGCTGTAAGTATAGCTTCCCCCCACAAGTTCTGTGGTAAACCAGAACTTATCAACAACGCATTCATCATCTCTTTCAACGTTCGATTCTTTCTCTCCGCAATTCCATTAGATTGTGGAGAGTAAGGGGCAGTTGTTTGGTGAATAATGCCATTTTCCAAACATACTTCTTCAAAAGGAGATTCATATTCGCCACCCCTATCACTTCTTATCATTTTGATCTTTTTGTTTAGTTGTGTTTCAACTTCACTCTTGTATTGCTTGAAAGCATCAATTGCCTCATCTTTACTATTAAGTAAATAAACATAGCAATATCTCGTGCTATCGTCAATAAAAGTAATAAAATACTTTTTCCCACCGCGAGATGGTGTTGACTTCATGTCGCAAATATCTGTGTGAATTAAGTCTAAAGGACTTGAATTCCTTTCAACGGACTTATAAGGATGCTTAGCATACTTTGATTCCACACATATTTGACATTTGGAATTAATGCAATCAAATTTTGGCAATACTTCTAAATTTATCATTTTTCGCAATGTTTTGAAGTTGACGTGACCTAAGCGTGAATGCCATAAAGTGTTTGACTCAAGTAAGTAAGAAGAAGCATTAACTTTATTGATAGGAACTGCTATTACATTTAGCTTAAAAAGGCCCTCATTCAGGTAACCTTTTCCTACATACATATCATTCTTACTTAGTACAACACTATTGGAAACAAAAATACATTTGAATCCATTCTTGACAAGAAGTGAGGTAGACACAAGATTCTTGCGAATTTCTGGAACATGGAGAACTTGGTTTAGAGTCACTATTTTTCCCGACGTCATCTTCAACGCAATCTTGCCAACTCCTTCAATTTTGGCTGTAGACGAATTTCCCATGAAAATTGTCTCGTCGGGTCCTGCGGGGGCATAAGAAGAAAATAACTCCTTGTTAGCACAAACATGGCGGGTGGCTCCAGAATCTATCCACCATTCTTTAGGATTTCCTACCAAGTTGCATTCAGACAACATGGCACACAAGTCCTCCATTTCTTCAGCATTTTCAACCATGTTAGCTTGATTCTTCTTCTTCTTATCATTCTTTGGTGCACGACAATCCACGGCCTTATGCCCAGATTTTCCACAGTTGTGGCAATTACCCTTGAACTTTTTCTTGCTTGGGTAATTCTTTGGTCCAGAAGCCTTCTTTCTCTTCTTGTTTTGTGGCGCCTCCTCAACAATGTTAGCCCTTATTATTGTCGAGTTCCCACGTGACTTCTTTTCAGCATTTTTGTTGTCTTCTTCTATCCTCAAACGCACAATCAAGTCTTCAAGTGTCATCTCCTTCCGCTTGTGTTTTAGATAGTTCTTAAAATCTTTCCACAACGAAAGTAATTTCTCAATGAAAGCGGCGACTTGAAAGGCCTCATTTATGACCATACCTTCAATAATAAATACATAATTAATAATAAGATGAATCTTATTAATAAAATTATTGATTCGGGTCATACCTTCAGCAAGGAGGTCATGCACAATAACTTGTAATTCTTGGACTTGAGTTATGACCGACCTAGTGTCAATCATCTTGAAATCCAAAAACCTTGCAGCCACGAACTTCTTAAGTCCGGCATCCTCCGTTTTGTACTTTTTCTCAAGCGCATTCCATAACGCTTTTGAAGTTTCCATGACACAATAGACATTGTACAGGCTATCTTCCAAACAACTCAAAATGTAGCTTTTGCACAAGAAATCAGAATGTTTCCATGCTTCAGCTACAACTAATCGTTCGTCATCTGGAGTGTTTCTGCCAGCACCGGAGGATCCTCCTTGATGAATCGCTGCAAACTCAACGTAGTAAGATAGAAGAGCATCTTCATTTGCCAACGTTTGAAGTCGATACCGGAAAACTTTTCGGGTTTTTCTGCTGGTGCCATAGCATGAGCAGGAGTTGAACGGCTTGACGAGGAAGCAACACTCGTCACAGTAGCACCCGTTCCCGCAACATTTCCATTAGTTTGGTTCTCATTCGTCATTTTTCCTATAGAGTTGGAAACAGGACAGAAATTTATTCAATCAGTGAAGTTTTGATATCTTCAAACTGAATACCAAACCAAACATACAACACGTAACAATGGTGAAGTTTTTATATACTTCAAACCCGTACGTTTATTATTCCGGTAAAGTTTTGATATTCTTTAAACCGGACAGAACAATTATTGGAGTAGAAAGCTTGAAGGCTTTAGTCTCCAGAACAATACACAAAATATAGATAACAGGTTTTTAATATATATTTCAACACAGAAACGTTAGTAATAGAATTCCTTAAGCTTGTGAGCGCTACTGTATTAAAATACAAAATCAGAAAACTGTTAGAAGAATAAAAGAAACTGGAAAAACACTAAAGATTCAGAAATATTCCGAGTCCACAATTTGTTTGTGCGTCCTTAAGGAATTTTAACCCCCTCACACGTTGCCAAGGTAATGGATTAAATCCTCCCAGGATAAAACGGAATAAACCTTCCTGCAACACTGGCAATACAAACTGCAGGATACCAACGAACTTAAAGAGCGGAGCAAAATCACACTTACGAATTCGAGAGAGAGAGACTGCAAATTAGAATGCAGTATTTTCAGAAAGAAGGAAGTTCTGTAATGTTTTTGGTGTCTTAAAAACGAAACCATGCCTCCGAATTTATAGGCAATTATTGGAAGAGGTGTGATATCTGTTCTGGAAAGGTGCCTGTTCAGAAATTTCGCCGCCTGCCGCGGTCCTACCGCGGTTACGCTAGGACCGCGGCCAAAGTGGCTCTCTGAACCTATAGAAGGGTTCTGGCGCGGTCCTACCGCGGTTACGCCAGGACCACGGCCAGACTATATTTCTGAATCTTTAGCATTGATCTGGCATTTAATTAATTATTAAATAATTAATTAAATAAATTTTGTCCAAAAAATAATCTTATCGATCGATTGACAAATCCAAATCCAAAGCCGAGTCGAGCGACGACGACGGCGCGAGGGTTCATTCTCTTCAACTCCTTTTAAGAGCTTTAAGAAGTGATTCTATATATAAGCACACAAATGTAGTTGTCCCTCACCAATGAGGGACAAAGTGCAAGACATAAGCTCACTTCTTCAAATTTTCATTTTTCCCTCCATTTTATTTCCCTCCATTTCCAATTCACACTTTTATACTTTAAAGCCCAATGGCTTAAAAGTCCAACATTACTTCAGATGAAGAAACATACCATGACAAAATAAATTACTTATAGCCGGGATAAGCTGATCCTTTAATACCAATGCAGGTTGCATTCATTCAACCAAGTGATGAACGTTATGTACTAACGGGTGCACAAAATCAATACGGCATGTAACAGACCCTCAAAATGGTTTTCATTTTTTTTCATTTTCTTTAGCAGTGGTTACATAAAAGATCAAAACTGCAAATGCATTGATACATTCATGATCTCACATGCTAGTAATCTTTAAAGATATCTACATCTGAAGCAAATTTCAGCGGACCACTAAAATGGGTGGGTGAAACCAAGGAGAAAAGCCTACCCGTAGAGTGTCCAATTCTGGTCCCTCCAACGCATCAAAGTATCGATGTATAGGGATATTTTCTCTCTCTGCAGTAGTCGACTCTTGCTGTGCTTCCAGGTTCTTTCCACGCAAATTTGTTAATTGGCTCTCAAGTTTACCAGACCATGTTTTGAAAGAGTTGAACCTTGGATCCCTTTGCTTAATACTCTTGGGATTCATTGATGGAAAGTCTGAATAGCTGGGAAGTTTCCCAATAGCAGGAGCCTCAGGAAATGCAGTATTTCTTGGCATTGGCTGAGAATAAAACTTGACATTTTTATTATGTCTGGTACCAGCATTAGTTGATGTAACAGCAAAATAGGAAGTGTCAATTTTGCATAACTGCTAAAATCAAATAATAACAATTTGTTCCTGGGTGAAGAAGGCGATGGAGGCAAAGTTCAACAACAATTGCCTTTAGAACACCTCTGGATGTCCAGAACAAAGTTTACTTAATGCACAAGCTTTTCTTCATGGCTAGGAGTTGGACTTGCTGATAAATGGCAAAAACATCGCAATCATGTATCAACATTCTCTTTAGGGCCTGAGCTGGTTTACATATAAAAGAGCCACTACAAAAGAGCAGAAGGATGATTTTCAAGATTGACTCATCACGAAGCTGGGATTCTTTAGGTTATTTAAAGCCTCATTGACAATACAATCCACTTAATGACTTTTAGTGTGAATTGAACTACTTCAAGGGCATACAAATTCTACCTTTGAATCCAGTTCTCTCTTTTCCTTCTTTTTATGTGCAAAAGTATTACATTCGTACTCGACGTATATTTAAGAACCGTCTTTCTATTATATTTTGTATTCCTATGTTATGCTAATAGAAGAATGTCAATACGTGAATAAACTTTTATAAAAACAAATATAAATTTTCTTCATTATTATGCATCGCAAGTTTTATCACTGCAAATATTTTTTAGTAAAGGGTGAAAGTTGAAGTTAAATCAATCACATAACATTGACGCCAAAAGGAATTAGCTATCTTCTCAGAGAAGTATTATACGGAAAAATAGCAAATGTATTATGCCAAAAATGTAATGATTTTATTATGCATTTCGAGTGTTACCAGAGAAAATTAAGCAAAAGAGATAGTATTTTGAATCATGATATTGTTGTCTTTCCAACTAAGTAAAAGTGAATATGTGAAAGCTTTGGCCTAAAGTGTTTCAAGCAATGCAATTAATTTTTTTGATCTCCACGATCAAGAACAACAGATTTTCAAGCAGGGAAAAAACTTACAGTAGCACTAAGTCACCAACAGAAAACAAAATCCAAGTAGAAAAACTTACCACAGCATTGAGCGTTGAAGTTATATATCTGGTGATGTCAAGGGAGTGAACTGCTTACACGCTATAACATAGCACATTTAGCATTCCTCGACCAAACTCCCTAATTGGCCCTCAAATTATGGCATCGGAACTACTTTCCAATCTGGAACGCCCCTAGACATAGGAAAACTGAAAATTTTATTGAGAATCTTCAATAACATTCAATGGATATTTAGCAATAAAATCCTCTACAGAACGAATGACATGATAAGAAATTGGAGATAGGATGTACTGCAGAAAGAAAAATTAATATGTTAACTAAATTTCTATTAAGAGTATAAAGCATAGCTGTATGAAGATGTCTACACAAAAGAGGTAAGATTATAAAGGAATCTACCTTAGTTAAAACCGAGAAGGATAAATCTGCCTGGCTGTAGCCAACATCAGAATATCAAAAAGAATAGTCAATGAGAACCCGCCTGAGGGCAGCATGATCCACAGGAGTATCGCCAGGAAAAATTTGTGGCAGATCCAGCAAGTTAAAATACAAAAAGATAACATTTACTTTATCCTTAAAAGAAAAAGAAAAAAAGAAAGGAACACGGTGTTGTAGTAAGACAATAAAATGTAATCTCAAAATTTTCTAAGTTGATACTAAATATAATCCTTGTCTTCAATCTCAAAATAAGTATCACAAAGAACCGAGAAAATCTACTCGAAATTTATTTCACATAAAACTAAACATCAATATGAAGGACGATTAAATCTTTATTTGCAAACTGGTGCTTTAGCATGCACGACAAGAGAATCTCACTATTTAATATTACAACAGGATTGTGCTTTTTAAATTCATCAATATCTATTAAGCCCTTACGAAGTCATATTTATTTAAGGTTGAACATAGTATATAAGGCCTATGGACGATTAGAAAAATAGCAAATTGGACATGCTACTAATAAAAGGAATATTTTCAGGCCAAACGTTAAAATTATAGCCAAGAAAATCATTTAATCCTTGAAATCTTTCTCATGGAACAAAATAAAGAGCATCCACATAATCATAACACCAATAAATAAATATATCCAAAATAGCAGTAAATCAACATTATTCTTCAAATTTCTGAATATCTCATAAGCAATGGGCTAATCCTTAACCAGTGGCAACAAGTGTTCTTGTAAGTATAATCCCGAACTTCAAATCAAATTCATGAGAAATAAACAATATTCCAAGACCATACTTCAATACAACAGAACTTAATTCAGAAATAAGGGGATGAAAAATATATTGGTTGACTGCATATATTAAAAATAGTTCATGGCTTCTACTGCATCAGGGCCTTGAACAGAACTTTCGAGGAATTTTATTCGCAAAGCTTCTGATATTGTCCAATTTGGTGGCATTAACACATTTATAGCTTGCACGTAGTATTTATCTACCTAAATTCACATAATTTATGACTACAAAAGGTAACTCCAAAATACTTCTCAGTATTAGCCAATGTAAACTTTCACCCATTACTATACTTAAAAGGATTGTACCTCAAAATTGCCAATCAGCGGTTTGAAAACTCCAAACCTGATTGCACCCTGGACAAATCACTCTGGGCGTTTACTTGGTTCGGATAGTCAAGAAGACGAAGTAGGGAACTGGAGGATAATAATCACCAACACTATCAGATAAACTACAATTAAAAACCAAGAATTAATTACCACATGAAAACCCCAAAAAATTAAAATAACAAAATATTTGAGCGAAAGAATGAGAATAAAAATATTTCAGAAAAATCTCAAATTGTTACCTTTCTCAAAATTGAAACTTCAATAGATAAGTTACTTTTTCCCCAAAATCGAGCTTACTTCGGATGGTACCAGCAGGAGAAATTCATTACCTGAAAATCAAACTAAATGGAGGGTAAGACTTAAATTTCCCTCCTGCTGTGATTAAGAGCTATGGAGGGAATAAAAGAAAAAATACGCACAAGTATAAACAAATTGAAGTCAGTAACCCACAACATCCATAAAAGAACCCAGGAATAGCGAAATCCATAATAGGAGGAAAAGAAGACAGCGAAAATAATTGTCTTATACAAAATTGCGAAAGAATCTAAGAAAATACAACTGGATCTGCGAGAAAAGGAGGGAGACGGAGAAGACTGTAGAAAACCGTCGGAGAAGGAGGATCGAAAAAAAGGAAAAGGGGCGGATATGTTCTGATGTTTAAGAGGCAAATTGGAGAATAAAAAAAGATCTAGGGTTGAATAAAAGAAAAAGGTAAATCAAATTTGGTGGGAAAGTGCAACCGCTGCAATAGCCTAATTTTTTATATAACCGTTGCTATTGATGAATCGTTTAGAACTAACCGTTGCCGTAGATTTATCTTTGGCAACGGTTATTATCCTAATGCAACGGTTTACTCTTAGAAGTGTTTCAATAGGGTGGAATATCTTATGCAACGGTAACAACCGTTGCAGTAGATTGTCTATTGCAACGGTTATGTCACCGTTGCTAAAACATCCGTTCCAATAGGCTTATTTTCTAGTAGTGTACGTTAATCAGTTACACTATTTTCTTTCTCTCTCTACTTTGATACATCCCATTCTCTTCCCCCATTACCTGAAAACACGATGCTCAATCTCAAAATTCCTCTCACCCACATCACCTACCATTAATCAAATACGGTACTTTTGCCTCTTTCTCTTCTCGTATTTCTGTGTTTTCAATTCAATTATCAAGAACGCAAATACAAAGAAGATCATACACGTGAATGGAGATCTCAAAGACCGGCTGCCGGAGGTCGCTGTCATTTTGTAACAGTTAATTCCGACGTCGTTTCATGCCTCAAGGGACTCGTGTTCAACTTGGGCTTGCTTCACTACTGTTATCTACAAATCAAGGAAACCTGCGTCATTTTGAAGTTTGCTATATTCAAGATTCTCACCAACAATCTTTATGCCAATAAAATTGATTTTCTCCTCCCTCCCTTTCTCTGTCCCTTCTTTCCTTGATTTGTAGATATATTAATTATCGGTCAAAATTAATTCTTGTGCAAAGCCCCCATCCCATTATAATAGATGCACTAATTCTTGAAGATTGCTATGTTCAAGATTCTCACCAACAACAGCAACCGCCGACATTAAATTGATTCTTGAACAGCAACACATATAATCCGGTTGGTTTGTTCTTGAACAAAGACGATGGAGTTTGGGGCTGAGCAACTTGATTTTCTGTTAATATATTTCAATGTATTTTCATGTATTTCATTGTATTAATTGTCTTCTTTTTCATTGTAATTCAATGTGTCTCGTTGTATTCCATGTATTTCATTGTATTCACTATCTTTTTTTCTCATTGTATTTCAATATACCCCGCTGTATTCTATGTATTTTATTATATTCACTGTCTCGCTATATTCCATGAATGTATTCTTAAGTTTTTTTTAATTAATATAATTTATGTATTCACATGTATTATATAATTTCTCTGAATATTGCTATGTTTTTGGGGTATTTTTTGGTTGAGATTCTTTTTATAACTGAAAATACAAAATTTGTGTGTTATAATTGAGTTTTGAGTTATATTAAGAGTCTTATGTTAATTGATTCACTTTCCGTTTTAAAAACAGTGTAATCCCCTATTTCACGCCGTGAATACAATCGAATACAATAATCTGTCTAGCTGTTCACTCCATGAATACAGTCGAATACACTCGAATACAACAACTGATTAGTTGGACTTCCCTGATTCACGCCTATTTTTGCTACTGTATTCATGAATACAATAGCTTAAATATATCAAATACATCTTATTACCACATAAAAGATATCTATAATTCGCAATATAGCAAATGGTATCTATAGATGGCTAATTACTAATAAAAGATAATGTTTTATGAAAATTTCCCTTAATTCAATGGAGGATAAGCAAAATTTCTTTAACATGTTACAATAATAGCGCCCGCACTAAACTAGCATTGTTTTTATGTTATAGAGACCTTTTCGGTAGATATGCAACTAAGGCTATATTCTTGCTAAAAAGATTGATAGAGATTTACCACGAAGGGAGAGAATTTTGCATATTTTGTTTATTGACCTAGAAAAATCATATGATAGAGTATCTCAAAAAGTCTTTTGACGGGTGATGGAGAAGAAAGAAATTCATACTAAACATATAAAGGAGTTGTCACTAGTGTAAAAACAGTAGTAGGAGGTCTAGGAGTTGTTACACCCCATGTTTTCGCACGTAAAAGTACGTCGTAAGTCAATTGATGTAAGACCAAAAATGAGACCATCTTTGGAAGTAAATAAAGTAAGTTATCATGTTACCTCGGATGTTACATATATTGAAGATCATGAACAACAAGTACAAATAGATTTGGAAGGTTTAGAAGCTAAGGAATTGAAAAAAACAATATTTCGTCGAAAGTCGACAAGTTGGGAATATTATAACATGTACTTTTTGGGTGAAACTAGGGTGCTTAACATGATAATGGGGTTATGTTATTAGTTATGTTAGTCGTAAGATAGTCATGTGTTATATTTGAAGTTAAGCGAGTTGTGGAACAAAAGTCGATGAAAGTCACCACAAGTTACGTTCATAAGTTTTCCTGAAAATTTTGGTCAAATGTAAATGCGTTTTTCTCCTAATATACTTAGATTTATGGGGTGTTCCACCCATAGAATTGAATCTCTATGAGTCTATTCTAACGCACTAAATCTTTTGTCAATACAACATCGGAGTAGAGAGATATATGCATTTTTGCGAGACAGCGCAAGCTGCTAGGTGACAAGTAGGTGTGTCTCCTACTTGCTTAAATGAAAGGATGAAACATGCCCAAAAAGGATCTACTTTGGGCATGTTAAATAATTGTAAGAACTCACGGGTCGGTGATCGGAAGCCGTGAGTTCGAGTTGCTAAACTTGTAATGGACTGCTTTGTGGGTTGTTTCATATTGCTGTTGGGTTGTCTATTTTGTTACTGTTTTTGTGGAGTTTTGGAGGAGATAGGGTGTGGAGAAACACCACATAAATGCAGGGTGGTCGGCTAGTCATTTGTCGTAACAGTTTCGGGTTGTTTAACACTATTACGATGGTCATTTTGTGTTTGAAGAGATTGGGGTGTGTTAGGCTATTTTGTAGCATTTCGTGGTGTATATAAGGTTGGAAATAATGTATATATGTTGTTATTGTTGTGTTCTTATGTTGTTGGTGTTATCTTGAATTTGGAGGAAGTAAGGATTATAGGGGAGATGCTGCCCGTTTTAATACAAAATAAGCTTGTCGTTCGTTGTGCGATAGTTGTACATTTCGTAACTTAACGATAGTATTATTATCGGTGTTGTAGATTACGATGCGAAGAGGCGAGTTCAACTTGGTGATTGGAAAGATTGTGATAAGGTATGTTAAGGCTAAACCTTTATTCATTTTGGCATGATCCCGTAATTACATGTGTTTGATAACGAGACATAAAGAGAAGTTCATATTTCTGAATTTATGTACATTTTCCTAGTCTCATAAGTTACAGCATTCTCCCTTATCGGGACTTCATATTCAGTTTAGTTTTGTCTTCTTTCAGCCAAGAGAGCAGAGAGTCTATATATATACAATATTACTGTATTTTCACCACCATCGAGCTATAATCGATGGGCAGACCCCTATTGGGCAACCTCTGCTCAGATGGTGAGTTATATATCAAGCCTACTATGGCCGAGCGCCTATGAGCGAGCCCAGAATGGCCGAGATACAGAGCCTAGTATGGCCGAGCTCTTATGAGCGAGCATACTACGGCAGAGCAGTTACATATACCGAGCCTTATAAGGCCGGACATCTATTTTACTTACTATATTAAGAGAGTTGGGTCAGTATCAACAGGTAAGCATATCTTCAGATTATATTTGACTCCCAGTTACTTTCAGTTATTATATTATCAGTTCAGTTTCAGCTTTCGGTTATTCTGTTGCCTTACACACTCGGTACATTATTTCGTATTAACGTCCCTTTTGCCGGGGATGCTATATTTCATGCTTGCAGGTCCTCATTGACAGTTGGACAGACCCTCCTATCAGATAGAGTCAAACATCAGCTTGGTTGGTAAGCTCCACTTCCTCAGAGTTACCAGGTCTAGACCTTGGAGTCCATTTTATATATACAGGTTTGATGGGTAGGTCGAGGCCCTGTCCCGATCATGGTACAGTTCAGTTATCTCTAGAGGCTTGTAGACGAGTCATGTATATTTTGTATATCAATAGATGTTCATGGCGGCTTCGTCGGCCTGCACAGTTATATATATCAGCTTTTGGGTATGTTTACCCCACAGATGAGAGAGGCATTATTTTCAGACGATTCAGAATATGGCCTTTTCGGCCTAAGATGAGGGTTATCCCTCCAGAGTTTACAGTTATAGAGTGGTACGCTCGGGCCGAGTATGGAACCAGGTGCCGGCCATGCCTCTTCAGGTTTGGGGCGTGACAAGAGTTTTCTGCATTAATATCCAACTTATTTACCCTAATTATGGATGAGCTAACCGATGAAATACAAGATGAGGTCTAATGGTAGATGTTATTTTTAATAACATTGTGCTAATTGACGAAATTAGCGAGGATGTCAACCGAAAGCTTGAGCTATCGAGGAACACCTTAGACAGTAAAGGTTTTAAGATAAGTAGAAGTAAGACTGAGTTACATGCCACCTTAGACAGTAAGGGTTTTAAGATAAGTAAAAGTAAGACTGAGTTACATGCACTGCAAATTCAGTCAGCATGAGAAGAACGAGTTAGTTAAGGTAAGACTAGATGAAATTGTGATTCCAAAATGCAAATAATTTAGATATTTAGGCTCGTTGTTTCAAGAGAGTGGCACGATAGATGAAGATGTTACTCATGTTTAACCCAAAAATCAATAACAATTAAATTTGTACGCGGTTTAAAGGATATGTGTTGGCCCAAGATAAGTTGAAGTTTTGAAGAATGACCAACGAACTCAGTAAAGGACCAGGTTCATCTAAGGAGACACAGTTGTTATGGCCCATACACATGAGATGCACGTGAAGAAGATAAGTCCTTGAGATCAAGCAGCAATATCTTGATGAATATCTTCTAAACTGATCGAAAAGATTGCATATAGGATAAGGAGTTGAAGTCTCCTTATGAAAAGAGAATTACATCCGGATCAAGAATATGGATTAGGAGTTAGAGTTGTTCTTGGACTCGAATTGTCAAAGGATCCACAATTCGAGTTCTTAT